GATTTCGGGGCCAGCAGCCGCTGAGCCCGGGCCGGCGGTGCCGCTGCTCCCTGCGTCTGGAGCCGGGATTGCTCCAAAGGCACTCGGGTACTGGAGCCAAATATCCCATCCCCATCCATGGGCTGGGGTCTGGACCCACTGGGAATCTATGCCAGCAACTGGGAATACTGGAAGCCACTGGGTGCTTGCAAAGGACCCCAAGTCCATTCCCAACGGGACGGCAGAGCAGGCCAGCTCTGCCCAGAGGAGATTTCCACTGAGAAAAGGACCCAAATCCCTCTGTTTCGCCCTCAAATGCTGCTGCTGCGAATGCCCCTGCAGCCGTGGGGGCTGAGCGCTCCCACAGTGGTTGTCCCCATTGGCTGGCACAGCAAAGTGCCCTCAGAAAAGCAGCGCTAGTTATGCTGGCTGGCATCTAAAATGTTGCTTTAATTGTATTTTAGTTGGCAATAAGAAAATAGAAACAGCAACAAACCCTCAAGATATTCTCCTTCCCCTCTCCCGCTTTAAAATTTCAATTCAGTGGGTTTAAGACTAGAATTTAGACAAAGCACAAGAAAATAAGACAAGTGCTTCACCCTTTCCAGGGGGACACAATCTTTCCCAGCCTCTAAATGTGAGGACAGATTAAAAATATTTATATTTGTATCAAAAGAAGCAGCTGGGGATGAGGAGAATCGTCAGCCTCCGTGGGCGCCGCAGGTGCTGCAGCCGCTGGCCGGGTTTGGGGCTGGGAATCCAGAGGCTGGATTGGGAGTTGCTAGGAGACATCCAGCTTTTGGGATGCCGGATGCTCCGAGTTGCCAACGGCCGGACCGGCGGCACCGTTCCCGGCTGGATTTGGGCTTCCCGGGATGAGCGCATCGGCGCTGCTGCCCGCCGGCCGCGGGGAGCCGGGGATGCTCCGCGCGGCGCTTTCCAGAGCCGCCCCTGCCATTCCAATTAAGGCGCTGAATTAATCGCTCCCAGTCAAGGCCGGGGTTATCGCTCTTTGCGTGGGGAGGCATCATCACCTCTCCTGGAGGCGCAGCGAGCAAACGGGAGCGCTTCGCTCCGGAGAAACCCCACGGCCTTCCCTTCCCTGCTCCCGCTCCGCCAGGTGCCCCAAGCCGCTGCTCGCCATGCAGGGAAAGGTTTTATGTTAAAATCTTTCCTTTTTTTTTTTTTTTTTTTTTTTTTTTTTTTTTCCTTTTTTTTTTTTTTTTTTTTTTTTTCTTTTTTTGGCTGCTTTTTGCCTTTTTTCCTCCCTCGCCTTTTGAAGCCGCGGCTCATTTGCTGTCTTTAGCTATAGATGGCGAGGCCGAGCGCGGCCGGGGAGGCCGGGGGACAAAGTGGCCCCAGCGGCGAGCCCGGCCCCCCCCGCCCCCCGGCAGCCGGCAAGGAGCCCCTTCCAGGCCACGGGAGGCCCTGGGGGAGCGAAATTGCAGCCCCCCCTCTGCCAAGCCTTGCAAATAGCCCCTCATCAGCCCCCTGTGCTCTCGGATATCCAGTGCTCTCGGATACCCGGCACTCGGGATGCTCATCCCAGCCTGCATGTGCAGAGCCGGGGGGATGCCAGTGTGGGCGTTTTTGGGGCAGGATTTGCACCCTGGGCACCGTGGGACCCCTTGCCCTGCCGCGGGGGATCCTCCATCCCGCGCGCCAAGGTCTCCCCGTCTCCCTGCGGCGCACGCGGGCACCCATTCCCGGTGCTGCTCCGCACTGGGAAGGACCATGAGGTGGGAGCAGGGATGGATCCCGGTCGCTGGCTGCAGCGGGGTGGGGCTCGCGCTGCCAACTTTCCCCAGCAGCGGCGGATTACGGCAAATCGGCTCCAATCGATATTCCGCCGTGGAAGAGAAAGAGCGAGCGGGGGAAAAAAAACACAGAAAGAAAGGAAGAAAAAGGGGGGGTTGCGGCTGCGGGGGCGGCTGCGCTCGCAGGGGAAGGGGCCCAGGCGGCGCCGGGCACGGAGTGACCGCTGGGGGGGACAGCAGGGACCTGAGCTGGCACCAGAGCAGGAGCCGGCTCCTGCGGACGGACTTGGGGCACAGCTGAGCTGCCCGCGTGGGTTATTCCGTGGGAATATTCCACGGCTCGGAGGGGGTCCCCGGGGCTGCTTGCCATGAGGCTCACGCGCCTCCTTTGCATGCAGCGCTCCCGGCTCCGGAGGAGCTGCCCTTTCATTATTAATGGCAGGATGATGCCTGACGCCGCGGGCGCGCGGCCACGGAGAGCGGGCGCTGCCGCTCCGGGAGGCTCCGGCGGCCTCTCCGGAGGCACTTGGCCCATGAGATGCCCCTGCCCTCCTCTGCTCCGGCCCCGGGATGCCCTGGAGGACACGGAGGTGGAAGGGCCCTCGGGGATGGGGGGTGGATAAGCCCCGTCTGCCAGGGTCCTGTTCCCTGGAGTGCTCCCATCCCGCTGGATCCCTGTCCAGGCACCGCAATGCCGGGTGCTGTCTGGAGCTGTAGGATGCAAGTCGGCATCTTCGGGGGGAGGAAAAAGAAAGAATAAACAGAAAAAAACCCCAGAAAGCTGCTGTTTTTAGTGCGTGGGTGTGATCCCCGCTGGAGTGGGCCACGCGCTGCCCCCGGCGCAGCCCGAGCCCTGCGGCAGCGCCAGCGGATGCGCCGCAGCCGAAGGAATCCGCGCCGGGCGCTGCAGCTCCCACGGAGCCCGCCGGCCTCCTCCATCCAATCGGCCTCCCGTGTTTGCCCCGAGGCCGCAGCCAGGGCTGTGCGTCACCCGCTCCATGTCCGGATGGGTCCGGGGTGGATGCAAAGCCTCCCTTCACTCCACGGTGGGCACCGGGCGGGCGAGCTCATTGCCCATCCTGCAGCAGGCCCCTCTCGAGCATGCGCTGCCCTCGCTACCCTGCAGCCCCATCGCGTCACTGGGGCCGGTGCTCCCTGCCCGAGGAGGTTTTCATGATGAAATTTTGAGGCTAAATATAGCCAGGGCACTGGGAGTGAGCGGGGAGGCGGGTGCAGGAGCAGCGAGGCCCGTGTCCCTGCCGCTCCATCCATCCATGCCCTCCTCGGGGCTGTCCCGGCAGGGAAGCCTGAGGAATGGGCAAGGACAGGGCTCACCCTGGGCACCCCGGGGAGCCCTAAAACACAGCTGCCTCTGTGGGGATGAACACAGGGGACTGGGGACCGTGTGTGGATATTGCCATGGGTGCCAGCCCCGGAGCCCTTGCTCGGAGCTGCAGCGGGTGCCGCCCGTGCCGCTCACCTCAGCCCTGCCACTGCGCTCCGGCTGCTGTCAAGGTAGGCTGGGCTGCAAATTAAACGCCCGCCCGCTCCCCGGCCCTGGCTCCATCTGCAGCAAATGAGTTGCTGGGCTTGGAGAGGGGCCAGTTGCTCGGCTCGGCGTGCCCGGCACCGCGGGCTGACAAGCCCACTGAATCACTGCCCCTGCGCTGCCAGGCCGCGCCGAGCCAAGAGGCATTTCTTTTTAATGATGAGTTTTTATTGTTCGGAGTTGTGTTAAAATAACTTCGCAGGCGCTCCCGGCCTCCTGCTTCCGAAGAGGCAGAGCAAGCCAAGCTGGCTCTTGTTGCTTGGGGTGGAGGGGACACCAAAAGATGTCACTGGTGAGATGAGTTGGGCAGTCTCAGCCATGAAGGTCAGTCTCTTAACACTGTCAGTGAGGAGGGAGAGGGGCTTCAAGCCCCAGCAGCTCCGTGTAAAGACACATCAAGCAATCCAGGATTAAGTAGGATCTGAATCCGGCCGGGACGCACACAGGTCCTTGAGCCCGTGGTGGGGATGCCCTCCCGGTGCCAGGAGCTGCCCTGGCACCCAGCCCTGTGCCCGGCATCCTGCCACCTCGTCCCCAACGGGGCCGCGCGCCCTGGAGAGGGGTCCTGCCTGCAGGATGCTCCTGCGGGAGCCTCTCAGCAGCCAGCAAAAGCTTGAGGACGAGTGCCATGGAGGGAGCGTAAAGGAAGGCACATTGCCCTTGACTCGGGGCAGTAAATCAGCACCATTGGTGGTTCCTGCACGGGGGCCAGCGGGTCCCCTGCTCCCCTGCACCGCACCGGTGTCCCCACACGCGTGGGCACGAGCCCTGTGGGCCTGGGGCTCCTGCCTGCCCCTCATTTCCTTTGGATCCAGGCATGGAGTTTTGCTGGAGGCTCCCGGGGCGTTAGCGGCTCTTTGGTGCCAGAGTGCCAGGACTGTCCCCGGGGCCTCCCTGCGCTCTGCCCACAGCCCCTGGGCAGGGAATGGGAGCTCCAGGGGCCTCCCGGGGGGCACAACCGGACCCCCAGCATTCGAGTGCCCCAGGAAGCACCCTGGAAATGGGGGCGAGTGGCCGGGCACCCAGCCGGGGGTGTCTGCCCTCCCCGGCCCCCCAATGCGTCCGGGGGCACCGAGGAGCGGCCCCTGCCCCACCTGCGGCTCCAGCTGTGCCCGCACATCTGGGCAGCTGCGGCGGGGGGCAGCGCCGAGCCCGGCGGGGCGGATCCGGAGCCGCTGCGGGAGCCCCGGGGGCGGCTCCGCTGTGCGGCTGAACCGGAGTGGGGGGACCGGGGGGGAACCGGGGCCGGGCGGCAGCGGAGGGGCCGGGGAGCTGGGGCAGGGGGCGAGCGGCGGCTCGGGGAGGGGGCGCGGGCAGGCGGGGCTGCCGGGGAGGGAAGATCCACCCCCGTGTCCGTGCCCGTGTCCTGCCTCCCTCCTCCCTCCTCTTCCTCCCGTCCCTCCCTCCCGTCCCTCCCCGCCGCGGCGAGCCGGGCGGCGCGGCGGCTCCGCCGGGGGG